GCAAGTGGTAGTGGTATTCAACAGGAACGCAATGGGTGTAAATGGAGGCCTTGGTGCCTCCATTTCCATGTGGCCCCCGCCCCCCCGCAGTGGGCCTCAGTCCCCAACCTGAAGGCCCTGGAATATCATACCTGTGTGCTCTGAGTCTTTGCCCAACTCTGAGGGAATATATCACTGCCCACAAAGAGCCCAGAGACCATGGAAGAGTATCCCGCCCCAACTCATCAGCACTCTGATGGACGGGGTGGGGGGAGGACGGCAAGCTCAAGCTGGGTTCTGCCAAGCCAGGCTGTAGCTTTTGGCATGGCGGGAGGGGAGGTAGGCTGTGGAAAGCAGGGCTTACAAAAATTGGAGCACTGGTAGACGCTCTAAGTATGAAATGGCAACAGTGACTCTCAGGCTGACAAGGTAGCGCAGAGAAAGGGAGAAGGTCCTGGATCCCCGCAAGAGGGCAGAATGCCCTGGAGGGGAAGAACGTCCTTTCTTGACGCTGTAGGATCTTGTCATTGCCGAAAAAAAAAAAAAAAAAAAAAAAGCCTCATTTCTCATTCTCTTTGCAACCAATTTCCTCATCTGAGAAAGGAGGAGGATAGTTTCCCTTACTAAGCCAGCAGGTAGCTGGCATGAGAAAATGTAGGTGACGTGCCTAGCACGCAGTAAGGACTCAGTTAAGGTCAGCTGCCTGTGACTCTTCAAAGCACTCAGACAGACTGAGGTCTGCTTTCTCCAAGTGGTGGGTGGACTTGCTCTACGGTTCCCTCAGTGCGACTGCGCAGGGACCCATCCTCATGCTGTCTTTAGACCAGACAGCAAGTGGAGGGGAGATGGGTGATGTGTGTTAAGGGGGACCGAGAGGGTGACAAGCAGACTTGAGACTTGGTCAGCACTGTGTGATGACTAGTCGCCCCATTCCCCATCACTACTCACCAAAGCCCACTTTTCTCTGAGACACAGGGTGTTTCTAGCAAACTTCTTCCCACTGGGTCCCACCCTGGAATTCGGCCATCACTCCACCATCTCCAGGAGGCTGCATACATGCTAAGGCAGAGGAGCCTCACCAGGACATGATTCAGGGCCAACAGGTGGCACAGAGATGAAGGTGGCTGGAACTCACATGGCTGACTGAGCAGCTCAAGTCCTGGACCCAGCAGTTTGAAAGTCACATGGGCATATATGTGTGCATTCCCAAAATCCCAAGAAGAGAATGGAGGAGAAGGGATTGTGACATAGCCATTCCCTCTGGGGGATGATTTCTCACGTGCCCTCTCTCTCTTTCTGTCACCGGTAAGCCCACGCACTCTGTAGCTAACTAACAAAGGAAACAATTCAAAGTTCTGTGTGCAAGTACACACATGAGCACACCATCCTGTGTTCCTGTCACTCTTTTTTTATTTTTCAAAATGTGTTTATCCATTTCTTCCATGAGAGAAAGAGGGACAGAGACAAGCACTCCCATCAGGGTCCTCACACCAAAATCCACCCCCGGTCTCACCCAGTACTTACGTGTTTGGTATGCTCAGGGAAGTACCAGGATGTGAACCCAGGACCTCTCCCACATTTCTCTGAATGCAACGGGACCCATCATCATATACTCTGACATTAGACAAACTGACAAATGGAGAGTAGGCAGGTGACATGGTGTTGAGGAAAGAAGGGATGACAACTAAACCAACTCGAGTGACTATAGTCACTGTCTCCAGACTGGAGGGCGGGTGATATGCCTGGCCATAGGCATTCTGGGAGCCCTGACCCAGGAGAACCCACACCGACATCCCTGTGTCTCACTCCTATTCTCTACTGAGCCTGGCGGCCCTATGTCTACAGTCTCCAGTTTCATTTATCTGAAGAGTAAGCCTATGTTCTCTTGTTGGAAAGCTGATTGGGGTAGGAGGTGGGTGTCCTGGCAGGAGCAGTGGTGAGTCATGTGTTGTGTGAGGTGGTAAAGATGGTAGGCGGTAGGTTCAAGCGCCTTACAGGAACACTTTCCACTCTCCTGCTGTATCTGGTCCTCACCTCATCCATGACTTTTGCAGATCTAGGGCGGTCCAGGTTCCGAATGTAGCTGCCTTCCCATCAGGTAACATTTCCCCAGCCACGTTCCCTCTTCCGCAAATAAATTAATCTCTCGTTCATGTTTGTGTCAGCCTGCCTCAGGTGCAAGTAGCAGAAACCCAGACTACCCCTAAGTAATTAGAGTAATTAGGACATTTCTTATCACCTATGACACGAAGTTCAGAGGTGAGGTGAGGGAGCACAGTCCCCAAAGATCAGGGATCTACTCTACTTGTCTGCTGCATTTTTTTTTCTTTTTTGAAGATGAAAACAAAAGCTTTTGGTTTGGATGGTAAAGAAGGCCCTCGAGGTGGTAGATTCAGTGTTTCTAGAAAACAGTGCTGGAGTTGGCCTCGTGAGCTAGGGAGTTTCTTCTTGGCATCCATGTCCCTCTTAATTTCTTCAAGGTTTTAAGCCAGGTTTGGTATGTCCTTGCTCTGAGCCGGATACATGCCAACCATGTTGCCCAAAGTAAATCCAAGCAAGAACTGGAGCGTGATGTCGGCGAGGAGGGCGCGAAGGGCTCCGCTCTGCGGGCCGGTCGGAGCCTCAGCCGTCTTTCATTGCACCTTTTCCAGCTTTGGGCTTCATCCTCAAAGCCCCGTAGCAAAGTGGCTGCAGCAATTCAGGGACATCCAGAGCTGTACAGCAAGCTGCACATACCTCCTTCTCCCGTGTCTCTCTCTGAGGTTGATCGTATGTGTTGAAGTAAATTGCACATGCTTTGTCATTTTGCCTCCAAAGACTTCCAAGTGCATCTTTTAAAAAAGTAAAAATACTTTCTTATATAACCATGATACTATTCCACACTTAACAAAATTCAGCCAACTTTTATCTCCCACAGGATAGTGAGGTTCTGTCATGATGGGGAGAGCTTCAAAAAGAGTCTATTAAAAGCTAGCTGGGAAGCCAGCAGGTGGCGTACTGGTTAAGGCTCTGGACTCTCACATGGCTGACCACGGTTCAAGTCCCAGATCTGGTGGCTTGAAAATTATACTGGGCATGTGCGTGTGCATGCCAGAGTCTTAAGACGAGAATGGAGAAGAAGGATTGTGGTGTGGCCATCTCTTGTAGGGGGTGATTTCTCACTTTCTCTCTGTCTCTCCAGCAAGCGCACATGCCCTATAGCAAAAACCTCTCAAAAAAAAAAAAAAGAAAAGGCTATCTGGTGGCACAGGGGTGATACATTAAGAAATAAGAAATGGGGGTATGGGGGCGGCAGGTGGTGTGGTGTTAAGGATGCTGGACTCCCACATGGCTGATTGCAGTTCAAGTCCTGGATCTGGTGGCTTCCTTTCTCGCTTTCCCTCTCTCTCTTGTTCTTGCTCTTGCTCTGTCCCTCCTGGTCAAATTAAAAACAAACAAACAAATAAGTAAAGTTAAATAAAATAATAATTATTTAAAAAGAAAGAAAGAAATGTGGGGGCCAATAGGGGCATCATGGTTAGGGCACTGGACTCCCACATGGCTGATCGTGAGTCAAGAAGTCCCAGACCTGGTGGTTTGCTTTCTCACCTTCTCTCTCTCTCTCTCTTTCTCTCTCTCAGTCTGTCTCTCTTTAGTGCGCACACATGCCCTATAGTAAATTTTTTTAATAACAAATAAACAAATAATTTTTTTTGAGAGATTTTCGCTATAGGGCGCATGCGCTCGCCAGACAGACAGAGAGAGACATAGCGACAGAAAGCAAGAAATCACCCCCCAGGGGGGATGGTCACACCGCAATCCCTTCTCCCCCATTCTCCTCTCAGGATCTTGGGCACTCACACACACGCGCCCGGCGTGAGTTTTAAGCCACCGGGTCCGGGACGCAAACCGCGGTCGAC